CACACACACACACACACACACACACACACACAGGGAGGGAGGGAGGGAGGGAGGGAGGGCGCGTGCGAGCGCAAAATTGCCAACTTACCAAGGGACAAGATAGTGACATATGCAGGCCTATCTGATCGCAACAGAGAATGTTCTCGGGCTTTGTTCAGAGAAGTTTCCTTATCAAACACACCCTTCACAGGGCCCACCACTGATTCAAAACCATGCATGCGGAATGTGAATGCTTTGTGGGGTTGGCTGTATCGATACCGCTCCTGCAGGTGTGGAACAAGAATGCACCCAGATGAGAGTTCTGTAGTGCATGAGCAGCATGAACTGCACTTCCAGATAATTCTAACTTTGCTTTGTAAGTAATCCTTGCATGAAGACTGAGATCAGAAAGAGCAACTGCTTATATTTCAGCAATGGAGAAACATACAGAGACCCCATGGCTAGGCTGGCAGTATCTCCATGTTTGTCATATTTGAGATTAATGTTGGTTAATTAAATAGTGAACCACTGGTAAGGGTGGGGGGGGGGGAGAGAGCACACACGTGTGAGAAAGAAGAAAAGACATGATGTGTCAGCCTGCTCCTGAGTCCTTAAAGATGACCATATGGGCTGTACATGACCAAAACAGAACCTGCTACACCTAATTTATGAAGTCTAACCATTTAAATCGAATCACTGACAAAATTTCCTATTTATTTTCATCTGAAAGCCTGGTTTTTCCCATTATGAAAACAGGATTTAACAAGGATTCAACAAGATGCTTTAATACACTCCTAGAAAACGCATTCAAGGCAGCTTATGGGAAATCCATCTCTGACACTTTAATGCTAAAACTCAAAACAGTGTATCTGAGAACACGGTAAACAATCTGCGTTGCAGGCATGGACGTTTTGCTCTTCTGCTGGCTAACTGTAAGTGCAGTGTTGCCAGTGCATCCTTATCATTGGGCTATCAACTGAAGGAGAATGCGTGCTGCCTTCACCTGTTCCTGGAAAACACGTTTCTCTTCCATAGTGCTAGGCCGGACCACATAGTCAGTCCTTCTGAAACAAAGAACATTGTCAACAACCCACAAATTATTTGAAAGGGGAGGTAAGTCACATGAATATTTCATAATGTTAATGTTATACACACAAACATGCACAGGAAAGGAAGCAGACATAGTCATTTTCATAACTAGATAACATTTATTGATTTTTGGAGAAGCAAACCACTTTCTTTGAAAGAATATAATTCAAATATATAACTCGGGTTTATTCTAGATGTTGCACTTTCAATTTTGGGAACTTGTTCAGTATGTCTTAACTGCTATGAAACAGACTATGTTAAAGTTAAGAAAAGAGACAGGGGAAACTCCCAACAGTGCCTGCAACTAACAAGTGTGCCACAGAACTATTTTTCAGAACAACATTTGCACTTGGTTTAGCCACAAATAACACTTTGCTCTCCCAGTGTAGGAAAAGGTGCATACTGCTGTTAGCAAAGATAGACTCAAAAGCGCTGGAAGTATACATCACAGCTTTCAGTCTGTGAGCAGCTTACTGAACCAAATATATACTTACACTCGGGGAACAGGTGTGGTGGCATCTGAACTGTCTTCATTGTCCTGCCAAAAAAGAGAAACATCAGGGTAAATATGGCAGATGAGCCAACTGAAATCCAGGTGTATACAGAGAAGTATCCATCTTACCTTGAAGTAGGTTTGGTCTTTTGTCTCCAACCAGAGCTGGAAGAGTTCTGCCAACTCCTTTTCATGGTCTTGGGATGGGGCTATGATAAGAAACAGAAAAGTCTAGCACTTTGTCACCTACAGTAGGGAAAGCAGAGAAATCCTCAATGGATTCAAATGAGTTTGGACTGCTCTGAAACTGACCAATGGATTCCATAGTAGATAATATTTTTCCAAGTCTCATAGATTCCATGAACTCTTAAAAAACTTTGGAGAGGATCTGAGAAAATGCACAGTTATAAACAGAAAGTCAAGTCTCATGCAAACAGATTTTTAAAAATGGATCTGTCAGTCAGCAGACAACAGAATGAAAAATGCCTGACAATCCATTAAACACAAATGGAATGGATTTAACGAAGTCCATATATCCCTATTCTATTCTACAAAAGTAGCATAAAAGGTCATGTGGGATTTACACCAAGTTATAAAAACAGAAGTGGACTAAAAGCTTTCCAATCCCCAAACAGAATCAGACTTATTTAAACCTGCTGCCATGACCCAGAATGAAAAAAGGTACACAATATTTATTTGCTTCATATAAAAGACTGTCCTCAGAATAATATAATGAAAGAAGTGCACCTGAATATAAACTTGTCATATATACTGATATACATAAAAGATACATTACTACGATGACACATCTTAAAGTCACATGATAAGCGCCTCCAGAGAAGAGCCAAGAGATTTTATTACCAGAATGAGAGAATGCAGCCAAGTTACGTTACCTATCAGTTTCCACTGCTGAGTTTTCTCTTTAAATTCAACGAAGGGAGAAAAACTGGAAGAAGTATCTATAATAAAACAAACATTTTATATACCTATGTGCTATTGTAATAACTTATTCCAGAAAATTCAGCTTACGTTACAATAAATTAAAATTCAGCAGTCAACTCCAGCTCACCTGACATCTAAAGAATGAGCTTGGACCCAAGGAAACATTCCTTGTAACAGAACCACAAAATGTGTTTATATTCAGTCTGCAATCTGCTGTGCCAGCTGTGCCAGCTGTGAGTTTCCAGATGGCAGCTGGTTGGTTGCTGGGTGGAAAGGCCAGGCTAGAAGGAATACCGTCTGATCCAGCATGGCTCTCCCTGTGCTTATTAGCAGAAGGCTTTGCAGAACAAAGTAGCTTTAGTTTTGTCTTCGTATGGTAACAAATTAAGTAACTCAGGGCACATTCCTATGCATGTTTGCAAAGAAGGAGTCCTATAACTACCCATATTTCTTCAGTTAACCATGCTGGCCAGGGCATGCTGAGAAGTGTAGGATTTTTCTTCCCTGTTTCAACATGCATAGGATTGCAACCTACATATCTATACATGAGGCACCTATATTCTCCATTGCAAAACAACTGGGGCGGGTGGGGGGAATAGAAACAGCAAATGCTCTTCTGTAAGTGGCTGTGCAAAGCTTTGCATGCTCACACCTCTGAATTTCAGCTTAACTTTCTTTGCGATGCTGAACTGGAAACAGCGCTTTCATACGCAGACATCTTGGGACACCTTTGGAGTCAAGCCATCGCCTCTACAGGACCGAGTGGCCATGATAACGTAAGAAACCCAGAGCCACCAACATGCCTGTCTTTACATGCTGAGTTAAAGTTCTAACTCACATTTTTTCAGGATCAGAATCAAATGTTAAAGGAAGGCCGTCTGAACTGAATGAATTCAGGACAGAAGAGTCTAGAGCCCAGTCAGGCGCTACCCAATGGCTTGTGCCATTAAAACAAACAGAACAGCAGGAACTTAAATTCCGGTCAAATGTCAAGAGAGCAAATGCAAACGCTCAAGGTAATAATTTTGTTTTGGCTGCAGAATAGGAAAATGGGACTTACCTCTGCTTTCACCCGTAAGATACTGCAGGGCAGGTAGAACGAGTTCTGACCAGTTGGGAGCAAAGGAGAACCAGCTGTTCAATGTGCTGGCAGGTGAAGACTGCCAATCCATGAGCTTGTCCTCAAGCTGAGCAAAAGATGACAGCACTTTTAAGTCATTTTATTTGTACAAGCTGAATAAAGTTGGCAATGCAACGGAAGACTTAGAGTCATTTTTTTTTTTACAATAGAAGCCTCAGAGCCATCCCCAAATGCTTTGCATCTGATAACCCAGCTGTGATTGCTTCTCAAGTAACTACACAACTTTTTCTTTCCCCAGTACTACTGTTATCTGAATGATCTGCAAGAGCATTCATATGGGTGGTGGCAATAATGATAAAAATCTGAGTCCCCTTGGAATCACGAGTGAGGCAGATATAAATATATTAATGGATTGCATAAATATAGCATTTTTGTATCAAATTACACATGAAATCAGAGATACTTTAAACCCACAAGGTTATCTAATAATGGTGAATTGGAAAGCTGCTCTTGGTATAGAAAAGGAAGCACAAATGAATCAGCACAAATGAAAAACAGTTTTCTGTAACATAAGCAGACATGGAGCTGTGACCTTACTGAATCGTGGCCTGATTAATCCCAACAATTTCTACCATGAGATAATGACCTAGAGAAATGTACAAAGGTAAAGCTTACCACTGAGAGACTAGCAGGCCCTTCCAGAAGCAGAATCTCTAGGAGGAGGGAAAAGAAGCTGGAGGAAATTTCATTTACTCCAAGACACGGCTTGATGTCTTCAAGAGGCCTTTGACAGAAGATGGATTTATTGTAACCTAATTAGAGAATTCAGGTTCCATAGACAACATGATGATGATGATCAGACTTAGCACATTTATCTATCACATTGTATTCAAAGCACTTTCAGAGATACCATTTCAGTAATTTAAAAACAAAATTAAGACAGTAATAATGACATACCCCCATACTTCAGCTTTGGGAGGAGAAGTGCTAAGGCCGAGATTATCTAATGAATTTGTGGAGGAGACATGTTACCGATCTGTGTATCAGTCACCATTCTCCTGCACTGAACTTAAACTATCAGCCACCAATACTGGTGAACTTTTCACTGATATGTGGATGTTCAGCTTTTTAACAAGATGAAATCAAATCATGTTCCCTTGCCTGCAGTCAATTTTTAAATTATTTTCAAGTCACTCTCTCTCCTGTAGCACCTCACGAATGGATGAGTGCTGCAAGCTTGTATAATAGAAAGCTATCTGAGACACACATTCTCACATGAGCACAAGTTAGGTCAGAAAGGCTCTCCCTGCATTCTGTATTTTCTGGAGCAAAAACCCCAATTCTGTTTACTTCAGGTTATTTGTAGCAGAAGCATTAGTGGTGGGGTCCAGCTGGCACACAGGCAAGCTTGGCCACTGCCTTTTGTGCAACCCACCCACAGTGGTATTCCTCCAGGAAACAACTTACTCTTCTTTAACAGATGGGAGGGATGGGGGATCCCAGATGGGAGGGATGGGGGATGGATCCTGTGACATTGGAGGCATCCCTTCGGGGTTGCCAAGGGACTCGGAGAAATCTTCTGCTTCTAGCTTAATCGCTTTTATCTTCTTTTTCTTTTTCTCTTCCTTTTCCTTCACCTTCTTCTTGAGGACAGCAAGGTCGAACAAGGCTTTCGTTTGGAAAAAGAGGAGTATCCAAGTTACACATTATATGTTTGCAAGGTTATCAAATATTAGTAATAAAAGTGTTGATGTTATATCAACCAACATTTGAATAAGTATTTCTGGCCCCCAAAATCCTGCCTTCATGTATCCCTGCACATTCTCACAGTGCCTCCTGAAGCAGTTTGCTCCACAGCAGGGATGGCCTTGTTAGTCTGAAGTATAAATACTTTCAATACTTCTTAGTTGTTCCCAGGGATTTAAGCTGAAAGGTGTAGCAGGCTCATATAATACACTGAAAAGATCAAATATGTTCAGGTCACACAACTGCTCATTTCAATTAGTACACAGATAGAATTTTAATTGTCAGGCTCTTTTTTGAGAGATGCGCAAGTAGTAATAGTTTTTTTTGAACAGAAGCAAAACATGCAGAGCTCACACGGGAGAAAATTCTCACAAAGAACAGCCTCGAGCAGGTGCATCTTGTTTGAAAGGTGGGAGCTTAGAAGCACCATGATGAGTCCTATGCAAGGGAGGGCCTTCTCAGTGGTTGCTTCCAGGCTGTGGATATTCTTGCCCAAGAAGACTAAGCTGCTTCCCTCTCTGATAACCTTCTGCCAGTATGCAAAAATATTTTTATTCAAGCAGAACTTGGGTTAGGTGCTGTTTTTATTCTTCTATTGTATAATAATTGTTTTTAACGTATTTGCATTATGATTGTTTCTATTTTAATATTTTGTTCTAATCAATGATAGCTGCCTTGAGCACCATTTTCTTCACAAGTAGGCATAATAGGAAAAGATAAATAAAGCATTCCCAAATATCACTGTTGAGACTGCAAACATGGTCACTTTTTATATTGCTCATGGTTTCCACAGCTTCTTGGGAGCAAAGCCTGAAAATGCAGCCATGAATGCTCCTATGCCAACAATTCCAACTTAAACTTGAAGGGGGGGGGGGCACCCAATACAGGCAGTCAAAGCAGTGATGCATGTGATTCACAGACCTGCCAAAGATCCCTTTCTGCCAGCATTCACACGTGTCATGATGTCATTCAGAGTCAGGTCCCCTATCATCAAATCAGGATGGTTCTATGGACAAGAAAGGGGCAGTCAAGAAGGAGAACAGCACAAAATCAAGGTCAATGTGAGAACAGAGGACAGACTTGTGAGACTAAACTTCCATGCCTTTTCCAACAGTATGCAGATAAAATGCTATTTATATTAGACACAGAAAGGGAAATTTCAGTAAAACTACAGTCCAAAAACACTTTTATCATTCAGAAGTCAGAAACCCTGAAAATTAGCTCCTCTGGGACTATAACCCTAAATTTCCTCTAACTAGTACATCCTATGGAATTATTTGGGAATTACTTCTGAGTAAGTATGCTTAGGATTGTGCTGCATGTCATTAATCTTTCAGCCTTTTTTCTATAAGGTGGCATAACTGTACCCAAGAGCCACATTAGCTACAATCTGAGTAGCTTCCACAGTGTCTCATGTAGCTTAGGCCTCAACTTGGATTCAGCTTGGACTCCCACTGAACTATAATTCTATCTTCCACCTGTGCTCCAAATGTAACCTACAAATGTATCTTACAGGTTGGCGCTTGCGTTTTTCATGGTGCTTCTTCAGCATCATCTTCAGGCAATTCTCACCAAAATCCAGCTTATCTGGGGGTGAGGGAGGAAGTAAAATACTATTAAATGTTTGCTGTAAATCTACTTACATAACACAGTTAAGTTGTTGACATCTTTAAATATCTTTAAGCATTCATATGCAACTTCTCTTGACAGACTGATCTAGTCAATTACACAGCTTAGGAAACAAATGAAGTTCTTAAGTACGCTATTCCGACAGACAAATTTAGACATATTTATTCATCTGGAATCTAACGGGGATGCCCATAATTAACCAAACTTTGCAGGATGATGAGCATCCTACCAGGATGGGAGGCACACGGAGGTGAAGTCTGCCTCCATGCTCTGCCTGATCTATAAAGCAGGTAAACTGCCAATTTTGGCCATCTAAGGGCAGTACTTTGGAGAGGAAAGTAAGGAGGCTGAGATGCTGCCAGGATACCCTATACCTTGGTGGCACCCCTCTCCTCCCACCCCTAGGTATTCTATATCAAACAAGTTCCAAGATGAGTCTAACAAGATATCACTTTATGTTACCTGCTGTTTTCATGTCTTGCGTTGATAACGTAGGGATCACTCTGAGAGGAATGGCAGGACTTGGGCAATGGGCTGGAGAATTTGGAATCCAGCAGCTCAAATCTGAAATACATACAGTAGTAAGATTGGTACAGAAATAGACAAACCTGGAGAGACAATTATTTTCCTGGACAGCAGACACAGCCAGGCATCCAAGTTATTTGATCATTTTACTTTTCTAATCAAAAGAGCTGGAAACATGTGGGCTACTTAAAATGCCATAAAATGCAGAACTCTCATAACAGGTCTATTTGCTAAGTGCAGGGTTAATACTTCAGGCAAGGTATGTATTAGTAAGTTAATCTGCACAAAGGGGATAATATGTTCTAGCTAGCTACCTACCTACCTATAGTATATCTATACCACTCCAGATCCAAAGAGATTCCAGTTCATTGAGGTTAAAACAAATAAGAGAATAAAAACAATATTCTAAAAATATTTAAAGAATAAAACAAAATTGAAACCATGTCTGGTCAGCAAGAAAAGCCTTGCTGAAATAAGACTGCCTTTAGCAGGACTTAGCAAGACTGTCTTTAACTGTATTTCAAATAAAAGGCCTGTGCTGGTCATTTCAAATGTATGCACCAAATTTATGTATCCATGTAAAAAGCATGTGCCAAAAATTGGGGTGTTACATCGATTAGTTGCTGGGGCAAATCATCAATTATTTCCATTTATCAGAGCAGTTTTGTGCAGACCCAGCTTTAGCAAAGACCTCCCAGTACCATTCCTCATCTGGTAGTTTCCTTTCATTTCAAGATTCATTCCATTACCCTCCTCATCAGAGGATAAAGTAGTGTCTCCACATTCCTCTTTCACCTCCCTGAGGATTTTCAGATATCGCCGATGAGTCTGTCTGTCCCGTTCTTCAGCAGTGCAAGTGGATGCTGGATACTTCCTTTTCAGGGCCAGGTCTGGACCACCCTTCCTGGCAAGTTCCAATAGATGCTGAAACAGAGATACACACTGGAGTGCCTGCTGAATTACATCTTAATCCCATCACTGTTCAGTCGAAAAGCCTTATATAAGCCTCCTTAAGAATACCAACTCATGGCCAGTACAGCAAAATAGAATTTTTCTTAGTGGTATGCAGAACTGGGGAATGTCTGGTCCATAGGAACTAGAACCAAAGCTTTAGGAACCAATGCAACCTTATTCAGGCAGTAGTCTTGTACAGGTGATGGATAAATGTCAATGCAAAGATGAGGGCTGGTTCAGAAAAAGCTACTGTTACATGTAGCAGTATTTTTTTACATCTCGGCATAGGAGACCATCCTACCATACCAGAAGCTGCTTTTCCAATATGGCTTGCTATATAGCATAGGGGAGAGGCTATAGCTCGGCTATTTGGTTTACATAATGTCAGTTCTTCACGCCTCCAGTTTAAAGGCTCAGGCTGCAGAGCCAACGAAGACCATTGCTTTACACCCCAGGGAGTTACTGTCAGAACAGACAATAATGGGCTTGATGGCTTAATGGTGTGATGTAGTATAGAGCAACTTCATACATTCATAGGCATATATGGAATCTATTACAAACCCCTCAGGCTTACAGGCCCTTTAAGTGTACAGAACTAGTTTTATTGGTCTTTCAATTCTAGATATGTCTTAAGCACCTGGGCAACCAAATTCAAATTTTTCTAGTCCTGATCATAACACTTTGTGCATATGTTAGTTACTTCACATACTTACATTTCGGGACGCGAGAATCTGTTTCAGCAACCGGTAGAAGTACTGTTGCTGGGAACTGAGGTAGCGCTTGTACTGCGACTTGAAACAAAGTTGTCGGTATTTTACCACTTCTGGATTGAAGTGTCCATCTGCAATGAGGGCATCAGTACTGTTACCACTGGTTCTGGTTCTGCTGGGGCTGTTTGCAAAACTTCACAGCCCATCGTGGGTTACTAAATCCACGGGGAGACTGCAGCATGTGTAACCACCATGTTGAATAAGCAACCCCCGCTCAGGAGGGATGCAAGAACCAGCCGGCATAACCCCTGTTCCGCTTCAGGGTTATGATGTGGTTGTTTATGCCTCATGTAACCTACACAGGGTCCACACAATGTGACAAACTGTGTAAGAATTGCAACCTGGAACCCACAGGCACCGTGCCTTATTGTGGATTAATGGCATGCCATCTTATCTAGTCTGAAAGCTACTCTTTCTTTATAATACACCATCCCAAAGGCTACCAATCAACTGTAAAAAGGAAGACAATACCCAGGACAGCAAACAGCTGTTATTACTGTACTCCATCAGATTAGAAAGGCCCCTCTTACTCAGAAAGGAAAAATAGAAATCACTGTTGTGACAACAGAAAGTGACCTATGGAAAAAGGCCCAGCAAAGAGAGCAGACACTTTTTAGGTGTCCAACTTATTACTCTGTAATTTCGACCCATATTTTATTTATTTATTGTTAAATTTGTACGCTGTCGAATAATCCAGATGGATTCTCTAGGCGACTTACACATAGACAAAGAGGAAAATGTAACATTCCAGTACCTTCCCTTCACATGCCTGAGATGCATCATTTGAACCCACTGCATGTGAGAGCACTTTCTAGTATTTATTACCGTGATATATGCAGTAGCTTGTATTAAGGGTAAAACAGAAAACAATGGCATCTTTGAATGATGGGGCTTCACTGAAGGCAGGAAAACCTATTGCAATATTAAAATTCATTATAAAACAACAGTGTTAGAATTAAAGCACCATGTAAACATGGATTTAGGGTCTGAATATGTATAAAGCTGCCACTGACCTCGGAAGAGTTTTTGGGCTATGTGCAAAGGGTTTCCAAATCGGAAGTTCTCTCCACTGAACAGGGACAAAATAAGATTATTCTGGTGTTCGATGTTGTTTTCTGGGAAGTGGGGCAAAAACTTTTTTAAGTGTTCTCGTTGCGAATCCACCAACACCTCCTCCCATGTTGAAAGACTGACAACTTCAAAGAAGATCTCAGGCTACAAAAAGTCAGACAGGAATGAAATAAGATCCTTGAAAAGGCTTCCAAATTATTCCACTTATGAAAAATGCAACAATGGAAGTGAATCAAATAGCCAAAGTTATTCAATCTTATACAGAAACATAGGAACATAGTGAATCAGAAAGGGTCTCCTGGGCCATCTAGTCTGACCCCTGGTTCTGCTCATGTAAGACCCAACATGTGGTTATCCAATCTTTCCCTGAACACCCTCACAGATGCGCCCCCCCCACACACACACACCTCTTGTGGATGCCCATTCCATATCCTAGGGGTCTTAACTGTCAGGAAGTACTTCCAGCCATTCAACCTGAAACCTGTTCCTTAAGCTTTGCCCCACTGGGCTCCATCCTTTCCCCCACCACAGGGGAGAACAGGTCACAACCCCCTAACATGTGACACCCCTTCACATACCTACATGTTGCTATAAGATTCCCTCGGACTCTCCTCTTCTCAGGCTGAAAAGACTCAGCTCTCTCAATCACAGCTCATCTGACAGCACCCCCAATCCCATCCCATCCCATCCCATCCATGTGACCTTGTGCTGAACTGATTCTCACCTAACTATGTCTCTCATATAATGAAGAGTCCAGAACTGGACACAGTACGCCAGTTGCGGGCACACCAGCATCTTATGGAGAGGTACCTGCACCTCTCTCGATCTGAAAGGCACACATCTGGCTTGACATCCGAGGGTGAGATTCGCCCACTTAACCATCACGTTGCACTGCTGGCTCAGGTTTAGCCTGCTATCAACAAGTACCCCAAGATCCTTTTCACAAGTGCCACTCTCCAGCCACTCGTCCTTCGATCCTGTACCTATTGCATGTATTCCTGAGCCCCAAATGCAATACCTTGATCTAATCCACATTGAACGCCGTCTTGTTGTCCCCCCTCCCCACTTCCACAGTCTGTCCAGATCCTTTAGTTACTGAATCATATGATGACTTTTGCAGTGTTTCCTCCAGAAGATAAAGGTGGTGCTTGCTCAGTTCACACTGTTTTACTGTTTTTGAGGGGAAAGAGATTTTACTCACGTCCTCCAAAAGATCTTCGGGCAGGCTAATGCGTATGGATCCCAGCATGCAATCCTCCATAATCTGTGTACCATTTCCTTCTCCAGATGGTCCCAACTCCAATGGGTCGGTGAGCATATGATCCAAAGAATCCATTGTTTATACACCAATACAATCCTTGAATAAAAAGAAACTTACTATAATTTACTATTATTTACACCTACTACTGTTATCACAATTTCATTTGAAGCAGATTCATGATTAACTGAGGTATACTTGATGGCGGCTGCAGATGGCTTTTACTGCTTCAGGGAAAAATCATCCTAGTTCGCCACCAGACACTTAAAACCAGCTTTACTGAGCCATGCCCTGCTGCAGAACGCTGCAGCTACTTCTCTCTGTCTACAGAGGCTGTTGCTACATTCACATACATCTACCAAAAGCAGCTGGCAAGTTTTGACCTGGTTCACACACAACAAAAACCAGTTGTTTAAAGAACTGATGGACTGTCATACATAAAGGGATGTGTTGCCTGCAACATGCTCACCCCTTCCATTTTAGTGCAAAGCCCATGATCTTGAGGTTGTGTAGTGTAATTTCTGGACCACTGAGCTATTTAGGGGCCAAATAACCCAGCAGTTAACCCTGCTGTTAACCCCTCTGTCCGTGTGTGTGTGTGTGTGTGTGTGTGTGTGTGTGTCACTCCTGCTGTATTTGGGAGATAACAGAAAGCGACAGAACAAAAAAGAGCAGCAAGAAACTTCCTGATCATGGTTGTTGGTTGTGTATGTGTGGGTTTTTTTGCACTTTAATTCTAGAATTGAATGAATGAAAGGTATGTGTTTGGCATACGATGGTTACTCAGGAGTTAGATTTCTCCCAATAGAACAATTTCAGTACCGCAATCACAGCATCTAAGGGAAACAATCAAAAGGCTTTGCTGCTAGATGGGAAGCACTCATTCACTCAACATGCATTTTAAAACATTCCTGAAAATGAGATTATCTTGTGACTACTGATATTTACCTTTTATTTGAGGAATGCACAGATTTTCCCACTAGGAAGTGCAAACGTTAGCTAAACAGGGTGAAAACAGCTTTGTAGCTCCCATCTGAAATAGGCTGATGCTGTGTAAGAAGCATATTCTTAATGAACAAGATTCACTTTTAAGATGTATTTTAATTGAATTGTCTATGTAACCATATTTCTGCTGAGGTTTTTTTTTTTACAAGAATACACATAAGCTGTCAAAAGAAATGGAACTCGTTCTTTCAGTGAGAAATAATCATAATACAGCAGGTTTAATGAAGAGTTTTGCTGTAGCCATCGGTCAAACAGAATCTCACCAGAGTCTCAGAGAAAGATTTTGTTCATTTTCAGTGCATGCTGCTTTCCTGTTTTTTTCCAGGAATATTAGCCGGTTGGTCTGGGATGATAACTTCTAACTAAACTGAAATACCGTTGTCTGTAAGAAGACATTCAAAGTCCATATTTCAGCTCCTGTGGTTATGTGTCTTTGCATTTTCATTATGAACACACATGTGAGGAAGCAACATAGGTCACTGGAAATGAATTAAAAATGCTTATATAGTGATTTGCAGTAATTTAGCTCACTGGTTTATCGTGCTGACTTGGCTCTCTGAGGCATACTCAAGATTCTTAATTTTTATTACGGAATTTTAAATTCAAAACAATGATGGTAAGCTTGTTTTGCACTTAAGATACAAAACACCATTTCAAAACTCTCTATCTGTACACTTAGAGAATGTTTGTGTGAAAACACCTAAATGCAAGCAGAAAAAAATGACTTTATGGATAAACAGGCTGCTTTAAGCAATACATTCTAGAACACCATGATTATTCACTGAAAAAGCACATTTAAAATAGATCCCAAATGCCTACAACAGCTAAATCTGCAGAATGCTACACAACGGGGGGCATGGATGTAACCTCCCATTCCGATCAGGTTGGACGGACATCAACTTCCCAAACGTGGGAACCAGCGATCTGTCTCATCAGGAGCCCGTTTGTTGGCCTTCATGCATCCACTTACTGAATCCCAAGAGAGACTCCACTAAAACACATATGATTCATTGCAAGATGCAATCCTGCACAAGTGCAGAGAGGGAAGAAGCTCTGCTGTTTCAGGCATCCCATGCAGGCTGGGAGTTACAAGGCTATTTTCCATCTAATGTGTTTGCCCAACTGACAGCCGTTGGCTTTTGCTTTGTTTGTTACACTCACAGTCCCCTGCCCCCAAGGAGGTTACAATGTAACTCGGACCACGGATAGAGGAAGCAGAGCGGGGGATGCACGAGAAGCGCAGATCAAGCAGGAGCGGGGCCGATTTCGCCTCCTTCCTGCCGGCCGAGGCTCCCAGCTGCTCCTCCGGACTGGCTGCCCCCCAGGACCCGCTTCTCATCGGCCCATACGACCCCCGGACTTGGCTTCCTCTCCCATCCCCGCCGTCCCTCCGCCACGGCACACCGCAGCAGCCCCCGAGGCGGAACGCGGCCTTTCCGCGCCCCCGGCCCGTCCTCTGCCCGGCACGCCTCACCTGAGCCCGGCTCAGGCATTCCGTTTCCAGGTCGAGGAAGAAGTGGACGACGAGGCCCGCCAGGCAAGGAACAGGCCGGATGCAACGCGCATGTGCGCGGGCAAGCACGCGTCTCCCACCCCGCAAGCGCGTTCGTGCACTGGACTCCGTGCGGGACGAGGGCGCGCCCGGCTGCGTCCCTCCCAGAGCAAACACTTCGCGCATGCGTGCACGCGAGTGCGTTGATCCCGAGGTTGTAGCCGGAAGAATGGCAAAAGCGCGCAGCCGTGTTGCTCTTCCCGCTTAGCTCCGCCTTGCAATTCCCACGCAAGCGCAGTCTCGCCCGGGTGCTTTCCCAGGCGCGTGGGCTCCACCTAGTGGCGAGCTCCTGCTGTGTTCCGTTGCAGTCGCGAAAGAAATTAGACGCATTAGATCGAATCATTGTTAGTTGTATGTCAGAGTGGACGGGTGGAAACCTTTCGGTCCATTCTGAAGTGTAACTAAATCCATTTTATTGATCGGGCATTACCTTTGACTGTGTGAACGTGTGAAGGGTTGTAGCACCCGATCGTTTGATACGTGTTTAGTCTGAAGTGCTGCAAAACTGAGTGCTAGCTTCCAGAAGGGGATAACTCTGTTACACCGATTGCAGCAAAAATAAAAGTTACCAAGTGAACGACTCTTTGCAGTGCAACCTCTTTATGCAGAAAGGAAGATAGGAAAGGCAGATATATATCTTTCCGTACTTTCAGTGACCATATCAGCTGCAGAATTCAATGCTTTCAGTTAAAAGAACACCCTTCACCTTCTCACCCCATCTATCCTTTTCCAATAGAAGTCAGTAACAAACACACAGAAAGCCACTACATATTTCAAAACATCACCAAACCTTTTTATTGGTTTGCCAGGGGGAAAAATCATCCCTCTTGTGCAGAGGGAACACAGTCAAAGAGATGAAGGTTCAAACAGCATTACCCTTATTAGCTCCTCTGATTTGAACAGGTCTGAGATTTGAAGAGGTCCCAAGACTGCTTCCTTCATACTCTCCAGAACTGAGTACCAGGGCAGTGCAGATAGCATGTAAACAGTTCACAGGGTTCCAATAACAGTAACAATAATAATAATAATAATAATAATAATTAAAAAATCCCCTTCCCACTTCCCAAAATAATAATTTAACTGCTTCTGCACAGCTTCACAGTTTCATTGACCCATCTGTCCTGCACATGTTGAGAGATAATGCTTTTTACTTGCTCCTCTGTTCCAGGGAATTTGGTTTTTATTTTTCTTAAGTGGATATGTTCTTTTCTTCCATTGCTACTTAAAAAAATGAAGTCAACAGAAATTAGGTACCAAGGCAGCCTTTTAAAGTATATGCTTCTGAAACATACATTGGACATGTCCTGCCAGCAGTCAGGTTAAGGAAACCTTTTTCCTTCACTGCTGTAAATCTGCCCACAAACAGGAAAATGGGACTCCTCTGTGAGGATCAGGGAGTAAATGTACAGGAGGCTTAGTTTGCATTTCTGGTTTTTGAAAAAGCTCTTGGGTGCCCCCTTGTATTTAGGATGCTCGACTAACATTTCAGCGGGTCCGACTGGATCTCCTTATTTCTGTGCCACGTAGGGAGGGGGCTCAGGGCTTTTCAATATGCACGTCGCCATTTCCATCACCGTTGGTAGTTGTCGTAATGATGTATTGTGTGGCTTGCTGCTGGTTGGCTGTCTGTGATTCCAAGGAGTCAGAATGTGCAGGTGGCTGAGACAAATCTACTTCTACTGCACTGGAGAGGGACAGATTTGGCTTTACATCCAGTTCGGGCTGGCTCTCAGCTATTACATAGTGTGTCTACAAGAAAAAGAAACCCACATAAGCTGCCTTGCTTTTCATGTTTTTTTTTTCTCCTCAGAACTTCAATCAGTGTTTTTTGCATTAAGCTGGGGGTGTCCTATGTTAGATATCTACCAAAAAGTTGGAATTAATACAGTAAGATATTAATGAATACAGCTATTAGAATATTGCTGGCACCAACTAGAAGCAGCGACACAGGGATTCAGGTCATTTTTTGAGCCCTGCCTGGAAGTGCCAAAAGTTGAACTTGTGACTTTCTGCATATAAAGCCTATGTTCTATACTGAGCTATTTCCTTATTGGAAGGAGATCTACCCTGTTAGAAGGATTGGGAGAAAGTACTTAGCTCTCTCCTTTTCTTTCTGGCAGATCCTCTGTTCTGCTACCTCAAGTGATTTATGGAGGTACATCCATCTGGAGAAAAAAGACTGTTCATGGGGGTATTGAAGGACAGAATCTTAAATTTGGAAGATATTAAGCATTCCTCACTAATGCATAATACCTTCCAAATAAAGGGGAAGCACAAGGATAAAAAAGGAAACCAAGAAGAAATGATAAATGGCCCTGAGTGCCAGTGAAATAAATTTTGTTGTTATTCTATGCATTTCAGAAATATCCTCCTTCAGGGGCTGAAAATCATAACAAATGGGTGACTATTTATCATTTCTTCCCTTTTGGTTTCCTTTAAAAAATATTCCTGACCAATAACAGCTGATCCTCCCTCTAAGTGCCTCCTGCTCCTGCATTTATGTTTTCTCAACAATGGTGGACTTGCGAACATAAAGCTGTCAAAATAATATGCAGTTCTGTCTTCCGAAGGCACTCTCAGCCCCCATATAGGGACACAAATATTAGAACACTTCAGAAAAGCTCTATGTGGCAACTTCCAAATAGCAATACTCAGCATTTTATGTATAATTGATAATGATAGTGCTTAACATTCATGTAATGCCTTTTAAATGTTCACAGTGCTTGACCTTGAACTATAGGGGCATAATCCTATGCATGCTTGGTCAGCAAAAGTCCTACGATGGCCAGCGCACCCCAGTCAAGATACATTCTCTGCCTGCTGAATTCCTCCAGAAATGAAGGTGTCATAGAACATGCATAGAAATGCACCCTTGATATGCACATGGTGGGCATGTCGTGAGCAGAGCTGGCTGGTGTCAGAGGTCGGACTAGATGGCCCAGGAGGCCCCTTCTGACTCGCTCTGTTTCTGTTTCTATGATAATTTGGGGCTGCCACCTTTCTCCTTACCTGGGTGACTGGCTTCACTTGGCCTGTGTTCACTGTAGTGACAGGAGTGCCTACGGCTGTCTCTGTGATCACATATGGACCCTGTGGGATCGCCATCATCTGAATCTCAGAGGCTGCAGGACAAGATTTGGAAGAGGAAGAACTACCATTACTCATATAAGTAGGCTAAAATACAACTCAGGGTCTAATTGCAGCCCACTGAATTTTATATTACAGTTCAGCATTCCTCATCCCTTCACAACCCAGATATGTTGGACTACATTCCCCATCTTTCCCATCCTTCCTGGATAATGGCCATTCAGGCACGAGTTTGGGGAAGGCTGCAGTCTGTGGTTGAAAGTCTCTGGCCATTCACACAATCGCAAGCCACGTGGGCAGCATAAAATCCCGATACACAAAATGTAACACAGTTTAAATAGCTAAGAACAATTTAGCTACTGCAAAATAAATACTATCAAATGAAACAATAAATCATATCGAATTGTGATAGCTGTGGCCTAAATGAATAAACATGTTAATGTGACTACCTCTTCCCCATTTATCATCACCATCTTGTGATGTTTATAAAATCTAACTAGGTGCTATTTTATACCTATTACTTCACTGAACAAACGCTTTCTTGAAAAACAGCCTGTCCTTCATTTCTGGTCTGTGTTAGAAAGCCTGTGTTTTTCTGTTCTGCATCCATTTCACATGACCCAGCCGGGCAGCTGGAAGACGGCAACCACACTGAGGGACATTCGGCCTGCAATCCTGTGCACACTTTACATGGAGAAAAGCTCCACTGAACTCAATGGGCCTTACTTCTGAGTAGATGTGTACAAGATTGCACTGCTAGGAATGCAGATCTGTCGTGCTGTAGCATAATCGATTTCTGTTCTTACATTCAGGCTTTGTGCAAGTAAAAGAGATCTCCGTGCAAGCATTCTCCCAGCACTGAAAATCAGTTTTTCTGTTCATTCCAGATCAGCTGAACAGAAGATTGAAAGCCAATCACACTCTGTTCCTCAACTGTCTGACATCTTAATAGCCTCAATAAGTAATTCCATCTACTAACAAGACGAAAAACTAACTGGGGCTTCAGTGCACACAGGAAGCCTCAGATGAGAAGATACCTATTTTTTTACAAAGGTACATTCCTAATACCCGAGCAAAGTAGTCCTCTGCTTCTACAGAGCTCCATGGGAGCACTAGTTTCCCCTACCCCTGGCTACTGTGCCCTGATTAGGGCTTCAGTGTCTACAAGAAAGTTATATGAAATACAGCATCTGCTAATTTTCTCTGAACGTAGGTGATATGTACAATAGCTACGGAATGAGTTCCATGTGCTGGGGAGATACGTTTGCTGGACTGAGGAGCCTTGCTGTGGCTGACTTTGTGATGAGGAAGTTGTCTGCATTTGGGAAGGACTGAGTTCCTGCTGAGATGGTTGGGATGAAGGACTTAAAGGCTGACTTCCCACCTAGAAAAAGACAAGAGAAAGGCAGTTATAGCACGTGGCTTCTAGGAACAATGCTCCCACCCCCACCACACAGTCTCTCTCTCTCTCTGTGTCTCTTGTCTCCCCGTTAACAACAACATAATGCAAGACATCATTCATTTAAAGCAATTTCCCCCACTCTTCAGCCAAAGGGAACGGCTTACATATAATAAATAAGACAGCCCCCAGCCTGGAGCTTTACAATCAAAAAGATATGAAATGAAAAAGGGGCCGGGTGAGAGAAGGGGAAAAATGATGCCAGGCCTGGGAGACTGCTGCTGACAAATGCGCTTACCATGATTATCTGCTAATATGAGAGAACACTAGCAATCCTTTCAAGTAAACTGGGTTACCTTAAGGAGCGCCAACACCCAACTATGCCTACCTGGCCTTTGAGTCCTATGCAGGTGGCCTTCCTGTGTAAGCCATTCCCTAGGGAAGTGCGGGGAGGGGGCTGCTAGGAAGAGGGCCTTTTCTGCAGCTGCAATGCGACACTCCAAGTTATTTCCCTGGAAGCTTTAGGGACAATATCATCTGCTGGCTTGGGTTGTGTGTGTTCCTCTGCACAGTGCATATACAAGGGTTCTTCAAAAAGTGTCTGCACTTTTAAAAACTATTTATTAAGAATTTAAAAAAAAAATCACATCACTTTTCTACATAGTCACCTTCCTTGGTGATGCATTTTCCCGGCGTTGAACCAACTTTTCAATGCCATCAACAAAAAATATATAGCATATATTTATAAAATATAAAAGCGCAGAAACTTGAAGACCCCTTGTAGGTATATGGAATGCACGTGCTACCTGGGAGGACGACTGGGCTGCAGAGGCTGGTTCTGTGACCTGGATGTGTTGCACTTGGATGGCATGCTGGGTGTATGTCTGAGGGTCATGCAGCTGTCCGACGTCCACCGTGGAATGCTGGGTTTGATGAGGAGAGGTGGCCTGGGGGAAAACGAAACGAAACTGTTGAAGCAGCTCTGTCATGTGAACCTGATGCGGTGTGGCCGCGTTTATTTCAGCACTCCCATGGATCCTTGAGTATTTGCAGAAGCGTGGTTCCTTCTATGTAATGCTTCCTCATTATGTTGGATATCTCATAAGAACCAAATAAACATTTGCCCAGCAGGACCTAATGTCCATCTAATCCAGCATTCTGTTTTACAAAATGATCAGCCAGATTGAAAGGGACCGTGACTAAAATGTAAAGCACATGTTTGCACACAGTCCCTGGCATCTCTTGTTCAATGGATCTAAGCAAAGCTGGTGATGTGACTGTCAACTCTAGTACCTTGGATCGTGTTTCTGTTCCATCCTTCTTCAGTCTGATACCCTCCATAGGGGCTGAATTACAACTCCCATTATTCTAAACCATCATGTGCAATGATGATGCTGAAAACCATGGGAGTTGTACTTACATGTATCCAGAGGGTACCAGGTTGGGGGAGTTTATTCTAGGTATTAGAAGAAAATGAATCTCAAGTAATAATGAGACATATTTGGAGTACTGGGGAAAGTCAGTGTATCTAAAACAACATATCAAACAGACCCTCCACTTAAGCCAAACAAGAAACTTACTAGTGGCTGAAAGAATTCTCAATTTGTTTGAAAACTTAAAAAATTATACATATAATGTAATAGATTAATAAAATGCAATGTAATAAAAGAATATTTTACATTCATATTTAGTTTATTAAATGTTGCTGTCTTTCATGGCGTAAGTGAAAGACTCACAACAGGTTAAATATATGATTATTTTACATTTTTACAGCTCTCATTAACCTTGTAAGGCAATTTCGTCTCCAGCCCCTGAAAATATTGTTTTTCTTTGGGTCCTCTTTCCAATTCTATCCCTCCTAAGCAGAAACTAGGTCCTAATTTAAGATCCTGATGCACCGTATCAAATGCACAAGGCCAAAACTGATATGATCTAACTGATCTGATATGTATCCGGTGGTTTTTTTTGTCATAGAATGCACTGGAACGGAGTTCCAGCACCATTTTTGACAGATTTTCCAAATTTTAAAAGTAACTGTTGAAAAGTTAATGTTTGGTCCACGTGGATCTGAATCGCCCTGTTGAGCGTAGCAGGTCGGCAGCAAAATCATTAAAACGGTGCATGCGGGCTGCTTGTGTGTCGAGTCCGATGCATGTGTACTTCGTCTGCACTGGTTGTGATGGCACCGCTCATCTTGTGGCACTGCTCAGCTTGTGACTGGTTGTGTGGTCGCACGCTGAGTGCTTTCTGCAGGTGGCGACCATTATGTTTCATTACACAACTGATGTGTGGGTGTGTGTACAGTGATTGACCATGTATGAAAGGTAAATAATTTCATGAGTTCCGGCACCCTTTTTCTTACAAAAAAAGCACTGTATGTATCCCACCCATTTCCCCCTAACATTTCAATAGAAAGACAGACAGATGTTCAGAAGACGGCCTCGGGTTCAAGTTCACAGGGTAGGAAACACGAAGGGGAACCAGAAGGGAACTCACCTGGGCCACCTGCACAACCTGCAACTGTATGTGTTGAGGCTGCTGCAAGCCAGCTGTGGACTGTGACACAGGGATGTACTGGATTCGCTGAAATTCACCCTGCGGGGTTCGGTAGTCAGTGGTCAGTGTCTGTGACAGCTCTGTCATTGCTTGGGTCAGCAAATCTGTGGTCTGAATAAAGGAAGGACAGGCAAAGGCATGGGTAAAATTACACACGTGCGGATAAATGCTTGAATTGTCTGCATTTCATTGCACTGGAGTCTCACTCTAAACCTCTGAAATGAATCAACGGACACGGAGCATGGACACAAAAAGTTGAAAGGTACCAGGTACCCCTTTCCTCTTTGCCAAAGGTGAGACTATCGAGCCAGCACTCTATCCAGCTACCCAGATGGCAGCGTGCCACCAGCACTGCAGACAGGGGCCTACCAAGCAGTGAGCTCCACATGACTCATTCAACATACCCATGCCGTGTTCTGCAGGGCAAAGCTTTGCGGGTACCTGTCCACAAAGAAGCACTTTCCATATGAATCTGTCTGCTGAGAAACTCCCTGTGAATCAGCTTAGCCGTAGTAGCTTATGCGCTGATGAAGCCCCCATGTGTTTACACAGAGCCAGCTTTAGGTTTCAGCCAACAGAACCCCTTCCCCAGTGAGTCTGCCTCGTCACCAGCTGCCATTGCTCCCCATATGCTTTCTCATCACTTGCCACCACTTGTTTTCTTGATAGGTGAACCGCCAAGGAGCAAACAGGCAGTGCCATCAACTGTTCCTCATTCTCAGCACCTCCATTGTCTGAGCTGGAGCCAGAACCGGAGCACGTGAGCAAGTAGGTTGCAGTGGTGAAGAGCAGAAGCGTGCCCAGTGAGCTCTTATCACCCTGCTCTTATCACCAGGAGTCTGACTCTGAAGTAATCACAGAACCCTTTATGTCCAACCTGAGGAAACGTGATTTATTCTAGCTGTGCTTAGTTAAAGCAAACCAAGATATTAAATGTGAGCCTGATATAGCAACAAAACTTCTTTTTTCCCCCTGAACTAGGCCATAAGACTTTTCTGGCCTTCTTCCAATAGTTCTCTGACAGAACTATTGTTTTAGGTAATTTGAGTATACACTTTTGAGTTCTTACCACAACTGTCTCCCCAGAAGTACTGTCGGCAGTTAAAACTGCAGGAGTGGCACTAATCACAGCTGTTGTCAATGGCACATGTATTGTGTTAGTTGGGATCTGAGCAAACTCGGGGTGCTTCTTGCGAATATGCTGCACCATCTTGGTCTGCAGAGGGGTGGAAAGAAGAAAGTTACCAAATGGCTGGAATAGCAGCTTTCACTAGAGGCATTAATCATTCAGGCTAACAGAAAGACTTCATTTCCCCCAAATGCTGTGCTCACTGGGCTCCTCAATGTGCAGCTTTCTGGTTGGCAACATGAAACCACCAACAAGCAGCGTATTGTGTGGTCTGCCTGGGTGCTAAATTTTTGCCTTTTGGTTTTAGTGGCAGATTGGATCCTGCGGAAGTGTTTGAGATTTCTTTTGCAAGATTTCAACTCTAGCACACTTCTAAAGCCACTTCCAACCCTATAGCAACTGTGATTTTTAAAAATGTCAAAATGTATGCCAACTTTGAATATAAAAGGTATGCATAGAAACTCTCTTACATGGCTGTTCCTCAGCTATGAAGCTACCCACAACCCATTGTTCCATATATGAACATACACAACTGTGTCGTGTTGTCAGATCATGGATCTATTCAGCCCACTGTTGCCTGCTTTTATTGAAAGCAACTCGCCATGGTCTTCTTTACGCCTGCTGCTATTTTAGATCATGGAAGCTGCCTCAACACAGTGTTGAACTATTGGATCATCTAGCTCAGTGAGAACTCCTCCAATTGTCAGCCCCATTCCAGGGTTTTAGACAGGGTTCTTGTCCAGCCTTTCCCAGCGATGCCAGGGGCTGAACCAGCAATGCTCTGCAGGCAAATCACATGCTCTGTCAGTGAGATGCAGCCTGATACTGAGATCAGTCACTCAAGCTGTAGGCTCCAAGGGTCACAGGCTTTGGAGATACATCTCCTGGAACACTGCAATATATTTAATAAGATCAAATAAGGGAAATTCCACGAGAACCATCCACTGTACCTTACTGCTATACTGCTTGGAACAGTGAGGGCAGCAAACCGGTGGAGTTGCAATTGTTCCTGTCAGCTGGGTGTGAGTACTGAGCATAGGATCTGGCTCTCCTGGGCCTGCTGGACGTAGCTTTCGGATACTCGGAGGAAGCTCAGCACCTGGGTGGTTTTTCAGTATGTGCGCTTTGCGTTTGCTGGCGCTCTTGTAAACCTGTGGGAGTAAGACCTGGGCCATGAAAAATCACCATTGACCTCTTCACTGAAAATATCGACCCATATGCAAGCCTTTGTCATAACAAACATCCTTAGTTTGCCCTACATTTAAGTGACATCTCCATACTACATACACAGGGGTATGTTAAACGTGCTAGGGAGGTACAAAGAAGCTAGCACTTACCTAAGCTTTTTGTCTGGTATTCCGTATCAGTGCACAAAATCTCACGCTTGTGAACACAGCACAGTTACACACTAGTTCTTATGCCTTCCATAAGAATGCAGTGAAAGGCCACCATTTCACCATGCTAAATTTTGAATACTAGGTCCCTCATCCTTGATTGAGTCTAAATCTCAAACGGAAGTGGACCACGACACAGGGTTTAATGTCAATCCCCCTCCAATTCCAGATCACCACCTTCCTGCCCAGTGGAGAAAACAAGGCTGAGGGTATGGCCTTGTTCATGCTGATATGCTGAGACAGCCCCATGGTGCTCATGGTGACCACAAAGTCCTGAGCTGCTCTGAAGAGAGTAGCCCCGGCATGGACCTTGAGGTCCTCAACACCAAGTCCGAGACCCCTCCAGCAGCTCAGGTAGGGAGTCTGTTGTGCAGCAGGGACTGTCTTGATTGCCCAGCACCAAGTACAAGCACTCAGGACCTGTGGACAGAGAGCCTCGGGAGAGAGCTCATAGTCTTACAGACTATGGCTACCCTATGTGCTGTTTGCGTAAATAAAATTCTGTGGGGAAGTACTGAAGAAAGCAGGACTTTTATACAAACAGGAGTAGCTAGTATCTCCATGGATAAATAAAATTTATAGGATCCTTGATGTGTATTTAGGAAATACTGTGCTAAGTAAATAAGGTGGTCAGCTCTCTCAGTCTCCCTGGTGGTGGATGCCTGCCTTACAGTATGGCAGCTTTAATTTGGATGGACTTTAGTAACACAGGCATTGGATGTTAAATTGTAGATGATATTCAAGGCCTGCAGATTCCAAGTGGAAAACCAAAGGAGACAATGGCCAGTTTGCACAATCAAACATGCCACTGTTACTTAGATAAGTCCCCTGACATTTGCCAGGTGTCGTTTCCCTAATTTCCTGCCTGGGTGCAAGAAATCACTTTATTAGTAAGGCATCATCCTGTTACCACGTCATCCAAATGCAGGTGGAACAGCTTGTTTGAGGGGAAATAACCCTCAAATTACTCAAGGTCTTATTTAAGCCACAGTGGCTTGTTTTTATTGTGCAAAGATGGGCAATAGCAGAGTTTGTTGAAAAAAAGATAGTTCTGTATCATCTCAAAGTACAAGACATAAGGCCTCCCCTCCCAATTTGTGAAGCAATTTCAAACCTCATCTCAGGAAAGTGCTATTTGAGTTCCTAGAAGCAGAAAACAGGTTTTCAGCTCAGATGTAGAGTTCTCTTTTTAGAAGAGCTTTTCATTTAATTTCTTATACTGGCAGGGCCATTTTTGGTCCTCTCAACAAATAAAAAATGAATTTCAAAGGAGGGAAGCATCCTTACAAGATCTGTTAGACATTCATACATGGAGACAAAATTTGATTCCATGCACACTCCGGGGAATAGTTAGGTTCATTTCATACCTTATCACAGTACTGACAGAAATAATCTCTGTTAGGCTTGATAATGGGCAGTGTGAGCTCTGGCACCTCTTCGATTTTCATGTCTGGATGTCTCTTTGATAAATGATTCACCTGAGATCAAAAAGCAGACCATATTAAAAAGGAAGTATTACAGAAAAAAGCTAAGCAGCTGCCTCATAGTGCTGCAAGGCATCCAGCGTTCAGAGCCAGTGAAATAGTGGGTGCCAAGCGGCTAGGCCAGGGAACTCTGGTTAAGATCACGAGCCAGCATGAACCTCATGGATGGACGTTGGGGTGAATCCCTCTTACTCTGACCGGTGGTCATGTGGGGTAAAACATCTTCCACAGAAACTTTCCAATGCTGTATTTCTGCAGAAATTTCTTCATAACATATATATGTGCATTTATCTATAATTGCCTGGACTGTTACACTGCAATCAATCATGTTAGACAGATTCAATATAGGATATAAGCTTCTATAGGTTATTCTTCTAAGGCAAGCATTGACAAACCCCAGTGCTCAGTTGCCCATGGCAGAAGTACAAAATAAAGCATGACAATCCTTCCCGTGCTGAGTCCAGTTTGCTCCAGACCAATTTACACGTGATGTATTTGCCCTCTGCTACTAACATTCTTCGAAACAAACTGAAAGTGTTTGTGACTCTTTGTTCCCCTTTCTTCCAAGAAGTGTTCTTTTTCTCCTCTTGCACTCAAGAAGTGTTTGCATAAGATTTGTTAGTTCTCTACTGCTTGTTGTTGCTTTGTGCTAAGTCAAAATGCCAAAACACAAGATGATTAGTTTGTGGCATCAGTATAATAACACAAAAGGAAGAAAAACAGCTGATAAAGGTAAACATTGTGAGTAGGAGTATGCTTGACATTGTAACAAAAATAGAGACTCATTTGACAATGTGTAGAAACTGGCCTGAAAAAATACAAGACACATATAGAAGTTACTACAAAAAGCGGTGCAACTCATTAGTTACATTTTTGGTAAATTTTATAATTCTGCTTTTTCTGGAAAATCCACACCATTGCCTCACAGTGTTGTTGTGAATAAACAATGGGTGTAGAACTTTGTACCCCATCCTTAATCTTTTCAGAAGAAGCGTAATAACAGTGTCATAAATAAATAAAATCTGGGCCAAGCAACACACACCCATTCAGAGCCATCTGCTGCTTTCATGCCCCTTCAGTCCTTGCTCTAAATAAGCATGCATGTCTTACCTGAAACCTTAAACTAACAGAGAAGTAACCTTGCACAGTGAAATACATTTCTAATTGGCAACAGTTGATTAGTTGAAACCTCATGGTTGGGGCTGTAGTATCTACAAACTAACCAGCATGCCTCGTCTCCGGAAACCCATCATGCACAGGCGACATTTGAACATGAAGCTCTCGTAATCCGTAGAGGCAATCCGGGGCTTGAATGTTTTGGAGCGACTAATTCGGTCTGCTTTCTTTGCTTCTCTTTCTGGATTATGCATTCTTTGCATGTGCTCCCGGAGTTTGTCTTTTCTCTGAGAAGTGGGGAAGAGATAAAAATGACCATATGGGCAAAATACTGATGCTTCTTGTTACAAATGTTACACAATACCATGTATAGAATTTATAGAAAATGAAGTACAGAAGGTGCAAAATTGGCACCTGAGGAAGTATACTCTAGGAAAAACGCAGAAAAAGCAAACTTAGTTAGCTCAGTTGCTGGGTGACAGATGTAATGAATTGATTTGCACTGCTCACAGAAATGTTAATAAAAGATTCTTTAGCACCACCAATAAAAATATGACAACCCGGTACGATGCCATTTTGATTGATATTTTTCCTAAGCATTAGATATACAGGTGAATATTAAGAAGTGTACGTCGCAATTCTGCTTCTTTTTAAAAATAATTCTATCAATGTAGAATTTCTTAAGTAAAAACAAAGAAATTTAAATTCAGTATTCATAGCAAATGCTCATATTTTAGTTCACTCCAAGTGAATCTAATGTCATACTGGAGGTATACTCCCAGATTGTACAAAATCATTCACTTGATCACTGAGTCATCCATGTCTATCAGGCAAGGAAGCTTTACAAAATTTCCTCTCCACCTCTTTGGACTGGGCAGCAAAGGAATAGCATCAGCATGTGTGAACTAATGGTTCAGAAAGAATGTGTGTGACTAGCAATGCTTGTGGATTTGTTTGCAAAACTGAACTAATTTCATGGCAGAAATTGTAGCAGAACAAGAGAAATACGTTTTGGACTTCTGACTTGAATTGGTAACAAAGGAAGACTCACTAGTTTGCAATACATTTCAAATAGGCCTTTCCATAGTGAATCAGTTGCTCACTGCTTTCAAAGTAAAGCACATTCCAAAGTAAAGCACATGCATTTTATAGCATGTTTGTGTCCATGCGTGCTATAAAATGCATACAGGTGGACTGGCATGTGTCATATTCAATATGACCTATGCGAGGCCAGATTGCTTCTGTTTCCAAGAAGCTGGCCCTGACAATTTTATTTATTCATTCGTTTAGAACATTTCTATGCCGCCCCATTCGCAAAAAGCCTCGGGGCGGCTTACAAAATAAAACTCAACAATGAGGGAGAAAGACCTCCCTGCATTACTACTTCTACCAGTCTGTTGCCTGCACCACCTTAAACTGCTTGCCACACGTGGAGCACAGGAAGTCCTTGCGGTCTGAGTGCCGCAGCATGTGGAGTCGCAACTTGTCAGGACGGCAGAAAGCCTTGTCGCATTCTGTACACTGGTAAATCTTTTCTGAATGGAAACTCCGTACATGTTTCTTCACCTGGCACAGAAGATCAAAAGAAAAGAAAATAATCGGAAGATCATTCGCAGAGTTATGGATCAATGGGTAATTCCAGTTAATAACAACAGTGGGAGACACTCTTGCTGTTATTGTGGACACTTCTGACTTTGGACAGAACCTGTCTCCAGGCAATACTATATAAGAAAACCTCAAACCATTCAAGGAAGCATGATTAAGATGAAACAATCCTTTGAAACTTCATTATAAACCAGGGCCATTTCTGTATACTGGTTAGTGATTTTAAGTGCTTTGTTGTAATAATCATTATATGCCATTGTGTGTGTGTGTGTGTGTGTGTGTGTGTGTGTGTGTGTGTGTGTGAGGGAGAGAGAGAGAGAGAGAGAGTCCAGCCTCTCAGGCAGCTACAGAGTAGCCCAGGAAAGAATCCCCCTTGTTTCATCAAATACAACAGGATGTCTGCTTAAAAAATCATATAAAACTTGAAAATCTGAGTCCTGGAGATAAAGCAGATTCCTCATGGAATCCTAATTTTTTTCAGCACTAATAGATATTTGTAACTATTTTGTAACTATCTAACTTTTCAATGCAAGCAATTAGGAATTTGGAAGGTAATAGCAACTTCACATATAAACTATGCTCAGATGTGCACAGAACATCACATAAAATGGCATCTTTAGAATTCAGAAACAGAAACTATTCCACAGCACAGAGCATTACTGCTTCATAATATGCTAAGTTTGGTCTCCATTAAATTCTGAAGACCTTTTCACTTATGCAGTTTATTTTGTAGGGGAAGTCCTCCTAGTCTGTGTGGGATGTGCCAGTGTTTTCCACAGAAACTATGTAGCACATGAAGGATTAATAGCATGCAAATATCTGGGAACTATCTGGATGTATTTAGCCATATCTCCCAAGGTAGCATTACATACTAGGCATGTTACAAAAGGTGTGCATACATCTATGTTGAATTATTTAAAAAATTCATTGATATCCTTCCCACCCTTCTTCCAATAAGCTCAGGGCAGACAGAGTGTTTGATAATTTTCAAATGAAATACTTTTAATTAACTAATTTAAAGATAGAATTAATTAGTTTAAAAGTTTATTATTTATTTATAAAATTTGTACACCGTCCATTATTTCCGTCTCTGGATGGCTTACAACGTTAATCAGAATAAAATTAATTAAATCTGGTTGAAAATCCAATAAAATACAAACAATAAAATCCAATTAATACATATTAAAATATTGATCGAATAAAAAGGCCTTGACTTGGCGCCGCAAAACATATAATGACAACGCCAGGCGGAGCTCTCTAGGGAGCACATTCCATGGTCGGGGCGCCACCGCAGAGCTGTGGTTGTTAGACAGTTTATAATTAATAAATCAAACTGTCCAAACCTTGATGTGATAACAAAACAAACTCTCTGACTAGACTTCATGAATGAAGGGATACCCTGTCTATCCAAAACAGAAGTGATCGTATTTTAAACAAAGCATTGCAAGACTTTGCAGCTTGCTGGCCTTGGCCTTTGTGCAGATTCTCATTATGTGGAAATAAACAGCACAGGGAAGCTGCTAAGCACAAAGTGGGCAGTGTTTTTGAGCCACTTTTTACTCACCTGGATAAAATCTGGAAAGCGCTTTTTACAGGTAGGGCAAGTGAAACAACCATCATGAACATGGATTGCCACATGATCTTTCAGCAGATCTAAGCGGTCAAAGGACTCGGGACAGAAAATGCAAGAGTAGGTCTTCTGGTCCAAGTGAAACTTCATGTGACTCTCCAGGGCACTGCTATTAATGAAGCCTTTGTTGCAGATGTCACAGGTCAGCGGACAATTTCCTTCCCGCCCGTGGAACCGTAAGTGCTGATCCAACTTATCCTTATCACGGAATGCCTTCCCACAGTGCAAGCATTTGAAGGGACGGAATGACTTTCGGATAAACAAGTGCTGAAGAGCTGCATTCTGAAACGATACACCAAAGAAAGGATAAGTTATTTTGCTGAGATACTGAGAAGTTAAATTTCCACAATGTAATGGGTAGGTTAGTGCTGAAAGGCTGCGATCTGAAAAGATGCACCAAAAAAAGAAATGAAGAAGTTACATTTCCACCGGTATCATAGGCAGGCACAGAACCAATCTATAATAAGCACACTGAAAGGGAAAGAAAATGATGGATTTGCCTAAGGGCAAAGCACCGAGTCAGTGGCAGAGCCAGGAAGCCACATTTGTCCTTTTGACTCTCATCTTGATCCAGAATTTGCTGCAGATGCAGTAGCTCTGTATGCAGTCATGATGTTTTCTTGCACACAATGCTGCCCTGTTCATTTAATCAGATGAAGCCATTCTGCCTGTAAATACTTTGGTAATCACAGATGGAAACCTTTCACTGATCTTTCTGTGTACACGCAGGACGGCATAGGGAATGTCATCCAGAGGGATCTCAAACAGGGATTCATCATGTGCACCAGCCAGCTATCTTGATCAGCTGTACTTTACCCAACAGGTGGGCTAGGAAGTGTCATTCTTTTGCTCCTTTCCGCTGTGGAATGCCTTCTCCTTGCTCTTTGGCCACTTTTGCCTTGCCTTGTTCTAAAGACAGCAGGAACTGGCTTTGAAACTGAGGTTCTTGACTAGTATCACTTTCTGTGAAAGCAAGGTTTAACCCTGTAAACTGTCCCGGGCACTGAATACTTCCCACCTCACCCTGTCCTTCTCAAACTAGGTGACAGAGCATCACCTTCATGTTGTGTATTCTCCTCTGCATCCAACCTCACCAGCAGTGAGTAATGTGAAGGAAGGTCAGAGAAACACCTGATCTGACAACAGCATGGAGCCATAAGAAGCTTCTTTATACCTGATCAGACTCTTTGTCCGTTCAGCCTTGCACTGCTTGTTCTCACTGGTAGCAGCTTTCCAGGATCTCACATAGAATTCTGCTACCTGGTCCTTATTAACTGAAGAAGACACTGATCCTGAGACCTACATGCAAAGCATGTTCTGTACCAGCAAGCTACAGTTTCTGCTCTAGTATCTCCATAGGTACATTCATGGGAAGAAGAGAAATTCTACTTCATATGGGATTGCCCAACAGATTCTGTTGAGAAGAATCCGGAAATTCATTTTCTTGCTAGCAAATGGAAACAATATTTAGCTAGTTGCAAAGTTTTATGCAACTCCAGCTAAGATTTAACAAACGATCCTTTTGGGAATGTAATGTATCCCTCTCTCAGATTATTCAAAATCCAAGGCATTAAATCAGTAGAGTCCTAGAGATGAAGCTCATAAGGCACTGACTTGAATATTCTGGGATGGTTTCTGTGTTCCCATGTTTGTACAGCTAAGATGGACTGGAGGAAAACTGATTCAGTTTGCATTCTGTTAATTAGAGACATATTTAAACCCAGTTTCTTTCTAATATGACTCATGATCTAGAGATAGAAAATGAAATGTAATAATGATATATTTCAGGGTAAAGCATTAAGGACAACTATTAATACAGAATAAAGTATGAATGACAACCACAGCATTCATTATTCAACCCTGAAAACGTATGTATATCTAAAATATTGCCAAAGAGAAAATTGCTTTCAGCAGTAGGTAAATTCAGAATGATTGACTGCCATTAATATGTGAGATAAAAACTCATTCCAGTATGTCACAATGCAATAGTTCCTACTGAATTTTTACTTAGGTTTTTCCTTACTCAGAGGCATTTCTTCCTCTACATTCTCTTAACATATAATTGTAAATACACACCATACAGATCTGTATGCCAATCTGGAACACCTATTCTTTATTTTTGCATATTAAGGAAAATATCACTCTGTCAGGTCTGGAATCACAACTATAAAGGCAATGAGTTACATTTTAGACAAGGGACAGGCTCAGTCTGGAACCAATACCTTCAAGGACTATTTTCCCATTTTGCATCAAAGTCACTAGGATATAGACTAGATCATCTAACAAGTGGGATGAAAATGCAATAAGCAGTATTCCTGATTAAGGCTTTATGATTAATAAGCATGCAGTAGGGGGTGGGGTACATGTGAAATCTCTTTGTTTTCTGGTCATATATAAGGGTCAGATTTTTAACTATGCCTCCTCCAGTAAAGACAGGTATAACATTACGATAAAATGGTCATAATATAGTCTTCCCAATTACTTTGATTATTTAGTGGGGTAAAGGCCCCAGATGTTTGCTATGTGGCCGATGAAAAAAACACACTATCCACTGGGGGAAAAAATAAAACCAGTTTTTAAACCACAGGACAATACTGTGTGGCACTAGAATGTAACTTGGCAAGTTAGTTTTCATTTAAGATGTACCTATACACATGTCAGTCCTACAGAAACATTTCAGAAGCATTTCAAAACCGAAGGAAAAACTGCCGGACATGAGAAATGGGGAAGGGAAACAGATGTGTCACTGATGGCACATGTACTAATCAGTAGGTACCGACCAGAGTTGTAACACAATTAGCATTGGTTTAGCTTTAAAAGAGAAAGGATTGGCTTCAACCTGAAGAACTGTTTTGCTGATTCAGAGTTCATCCTGAATTCAGAGAGGGGAAAGGATTTTTAGAGGGCAGCAAGGATCCTATTGAATTATTTCTACCATTCTTCAAACATTACGTGTACCTTGACACTTAGTATCCATTTTCTCTGCATAACAATGGTGCTACAATATTCAACAAACGCTTCCTAGGTCCTTCTGTGTTAACACACTTCAATAGGCATTTCTTCATCTCTGCTTTAGTTGCAGTATGAAAAGTTCACAGCTGCCTTTGCAGTCCTGCTTCCAAATGTCCTATGTGCTTCAGTAATTAAAGAGGAATTGTGAAGTTGGCGGGTAGTTGGCGTAGGAGTCATTTCTACAATTTTGTATACAAGATCTCCAGTTGCAATCTGCAGCTAAAGATTGAAAAGCCAGCAGGACTTTGTACCCCCCTACAGAGTAGGAGAAAGCACTACAGAAAATTTTCACTCCCAGGCTGCAATTGCTCTTCTATTATTAACCATTGTCTGTTTTCCACTCTGCTTCTCAAACATTAAATATTAATTCCAATCCATACTAAAAAAAATAAAGTAAAAATCCCAAGGCTAGCCAGTGGGTCCAATTTATTCAACCATGCTAAATCATTAGTATGCGTGGCATAAATCAGGCAGTGGGCAGCCTCCTTATGGAAGCATTTTAACTTTCCCAAGTTAAAGTTGCAAGCAGCTACTATAAAGGAAGGCTTTAGACCAGGAGATAGGAACGTCTTTTATCCTGAGGGACAAATTCCATTTCAGAAAAATTCCTGGGGTGAAAAGCCAGGTGGTGGGCCGGACCGAAGACAAAGTGGATGGGGCCGGTTAAAAGGAATGGGATCAAATACTGATTAAAAATTCAAATCAGGCTATTCTAGCATACAGCTATCCCTGCCAGTAAATAAGCCTTAAGAGATGCATTTCACCCCTTAAGAAAAGGAGAAAGAAAAACCTCCAAACAGGTGGGGGTTAACGGGACAGGGCATGTTCATCAGAGAAGCCGCAGATGGGCAAGCACGGCCAAGATTTGGCCTCTCAGTCCTGAGGTTCCTCACCCCTGCTTCAGAAACTCTGTTCAGAATTGCAAAGTGCCTATTAAATGCGTGGAGCTTTTGGACTTACAAGCACCTGCCTGGGTCTCTTGTTCAGGTGACACGGCCCTGCTTGTAAAGAAGGCACAGAAGAGTACATTCCTCTTAATAATACATAATTTCAAGTAGGCAGGCAGGCAGGCAGGCCAAATTGCTAAGTGAATGAGTGGGTGGCGACAGTGGAACCTCTGCCTCACTTGATGCGGCAAGAGATACTGGGGTGGGCACACCTATATGCACCCATTGCTAGGAAGCAGGATCAGCAAGATGCAGTTGCATTCGCACCCCACTCGTGAATTTGTGCAGACAACTTGGTTGGTCACGGTGCGAACAGGATGCTGGATTAAATGGGCCCTTGGGCTGATCCAGCATGGCTCTTTTTATCTTTCCATGAGATCTGCCACATCCCATGACCCCGGCTGCTATCTGGGAATGATACGATGACTCTCTACAGCTTTCTGGATGTCAAAGAAGCCAATAGCTCTCTTTAGCCAATATGATGGTGTATAAATGCTGATAACTAATGAAAGACGTCTTATGCCCTAAGCACACATAAAGTAGAGGCCTTTGAATCCAGGGATGAGGGTTCAAGTTTTAGTTCTGCTCTGTGGAGGACCCACAATGGTTGCAGTTGAAGGCCCACTGGCACATGTAGGACCCTCGTTTTGGGCTCAGTGCATCCCATATGACTTCATGGTCAGAGGACCATCTAGAGTGGCATTCAATCCACTTCAACCCACAGGGTTGCAGTCTGGAGGGGAACTTAGAAGCTCTCTGGACAAACAAGTTCTATTTGCATGCAAAATCATATATGACAACTTCCGATAGACCCGACGTTCCCCAAGCACTTGCTTGCACAGAAAAATATTGCATCTGTCAGTCACAGTGATATCCAATAGATACCAAGAACACCAGCATAATTTTTACGGCCACTGTGAACACAGGAATCGCTGTTGGCCTTAGCTATGATTGCCTGGTTAACATGCTGATTTTTTCCCCCTGGAAACCCATATTCAGGACAGGCAACAAAGCTCTTGTGCAGCCACAATTTATTATGTGATCCAGTCCTGGTTGTCTTTAGGCAAGTCACTACCTCTCCTCCGCATATCTCGTATCTGCAAAAAGGAATAATAACTGACCACAAAGACTTGCTGAGAGGGTGAATAATATACAGCATATAACCATTCAGCAAGTTAAAACTGACATAAAACCTTTTTGGAAAAAAACCCCTTCAACTCATATTTGCCTGAGAAAGCTAAGACCTGGAGTCTAAGAACCAAGTGAACATTCAGAAATAAGTCCGTGCTTTAGGGACTATTTCATTTCAGACTCGGAGTGCTC